GGGGACCCCCCCCCCCCCGGCCAGCCGCTGCTCGCTCCCACGGCACAGACACTCGATCAGCAGTAATTGTTCGCCTCTAATTGCTGCAACTCATCTGTAAAATTCACGAGCAAACATTGGGCTGTACCTGAAAAGGTAAAAGATCCTGCCAGCGCTCCCAGCCTCGCGCTGCCCGCAAGTTCATGCTACTAAATTCAAGCTTGACTGACAGACAGGTATGATTCCCAGACTGCTTGAGGCAGGATTTAGACGGATCGCAGGGCGACGGGTAATGTTGTTGCTCTGCTAAGCTCTACCTTCTGTATTTAACAAAAACAGCGAAAGAAAAACATTTTTTGTTGTTCTCTCTATTGGACTTTTTTTCTCAGAGACAGACCACCCCGCCCACCGCCCCATGGCTGAGGTTAGGTTTCATCACTTAGGATCAACTTTACAAAAGGCCCGGGCTCTTCCTTACAACGGTATAAATGAGCTTTGCGGAGATGAACAGCTCAATAATGGCGGGATGCAGTCAAAACACGCTCGCTGGATGCAACTCATGTTTCATTTGATTGGAGGTGGAGTAGGGTTGAAAAGCTGCATTTTTTGGTTGTTGGGGTGGTGTGGTTTTTTTTTTTATTTCAAGCGAGGTTGATCTAGGATTTCTCTTTGCTGTCTTCTTATTATCTCCTGTCATACCCAATCGAACCTGAACGTGTGTAATTCAAGATGTATGTGCACAGTAAAATTCCTCCAACGGGGCGCTCTCATTTTTTCCTTTCCCCGAAGAGCGCGGAGCTGCAGAGAGCCTTGTCCCTGTTACTGCCCTGGAATGCGTTTTTTCAGCTCCGAGTCAAGTTAGGATTCAATACCCGTTTCTACTAACTTGGAAGACTCCCCTCTGTTATCATTAAGCATCTATTAGTTCGACTATTTTAATGACTTCAGAATGATTAGCCCTGTTAGGCCTTCTGGCAGCGCTGTCATCCCAGCAAAAGCATTATTTTAAAATATGTATGTTAATGAAAGCGAGGTGCAAACACAGCGGTGACTATCGCAGTGGCATGTCAGGGGCTGTCACACATTCCAGGCACATTCTCAGCCTGGGATCACGGTCACCTTCCAGCTATAAAAAAATATTTTTTGTTTTTTTTTTTTTTCTTCTTTTCTTTTAAGAAACATAGCTGGTAGCAGCTGAAGTTAAAACTCCCAAATATTGTTTTTCTCTTGCTCATTGCTTGCTCTGACAGCGATACAGCCCCTTAACGCTGTGAAACTGCTCTGAGCTTCTTCCCCCTCAACAAAGCAGCTCCTGAAGATTCCCTTTGGTTTATCCATGGAAAACTCCAAGTGGCTCAAGATCAGTTTTCTGAGGTTTTGGGTTTGCTGTGTGTGCTGAAACAGGTTTGGGGGGGTTCTTTTATTTTTTTTGTGTGCGCGCGTGTTCTGATTTCTTTCCTTCTACTCAAGTATACGCCACTGCAATGGGAGAAAAACCAGCAGTATTACACTTTATGCCGTGCCCGATATAAACTCCCAGGAGTGACCCTACTGCTGTAGGTTTCACCAGACCTGATCACCTCTTCCAGGTTTTACAAACTTTTTCAATCTGTGGGCACAGCTTCATGTTTCGGATTTTACTGCCGCTGCCCCCCCCTCCACAGCGGGCGGCTCGCAGGCAGAGGCGGCAGAGGCTCCTCCGGCAGCCCCAGACGCGCAGCCACCTGCGAAAGTTGGGTCTTTGAGGAATGGTTTTTGAGGCTTTGTTGTCAGAAAGTGAAATTAAGGTTTTGGCTGTTGTGGGTCAGGAGGCCACGGGCACGCTGAGCTCATACGGGGCCCTGTTTCGCCATGATTCTTCCTGTGAGTTACTAGTTTAGTAAGGAAATCAGGCTTAATCCAGCTCCCACTGAAAATCCATCTCCAGTGGAGCGGGGTCGTGTTAGCTTAGGGCTGGTGGAACAAGGAGCTCCTCGGTGGTGATTTTCCACTTGCTCCAGGTAGGGCTGAGGCTCCTGCCTGGTCTTTATGTTCACCCGTGTTATCTGGAGCTTAACGCGCCGCTGGCCTTACCGCTCCCGGCATTGGCCTGTCCCGACATGACCTAAAAGATTGGAACCAAAACCGCCAACCGGTCGTTGCCATTTCTGCAAAGCGGTGAGCTTTTTATCGATGGTTCGCGTTCAACAAAAGTGGTAAGGCAGGGCGTCTCTAAGCAAAAAATGCCTTTTTTGGGGGGGATGGGAGCTGTCAAATCATGCTCGTACGCTTGCCAGGAAGAGCACTGGGGGTCGTAGGTGTCCACAGAGCCAAGGCTGCAGCCTGCGTGAGGCTCCATGTGGCGCCTGGACGAAGGTGGGACGTGGGACGTGGGATGACATCTGCCCGCCAAGGTCGCCCCAGGAGAAGGGGCGGACACGCAGGGGTTGTGATCTGGAGTCGGTGCTCAGCGACCCCCAAGCAGGAGGTTTGGCGGGGCCGGAGCAGCTCGGCTGGAGGTGGCAGCCCCTCACCTGGACCTGGG